TGGTGGTGTATTCGCACGTACGCAAACACACACAACCTGAAAATGTGGCTGCGGCCACAAAACCGCAGTCTGGCTCCTTATGGCTTTAGCTTCTGTGGTCAAGTACAATCAGCTTGTATTCCTCAAGAGTAAAGCAAAAGAGTTGTTCTTCGGTAGATAGATTTACTCACATGAAATCTTCACTCTCTTCAGGGAAGGATCTCGTGTAATGGGCCAGAGGTGGTTTTTGTGGTTTGACCAATTTTTACGTACAAAGAGTTAGAGCTTTGTGCGTTTTCTTGGCATGACATTAAAACACATAGTTACTTTAAAAAAATAAACAGGCTTTGAGTTGTATTTTTTATATATATATAATATATACATATACGTACTTGTTTTATTTATATTCCTTCTTTGTAATCTACTTATTCCAGTCAGTATAGAGTGTTAAGTTGAAAGTACTTACTGTCCGTGTTAAACCATATTTATTTACAATGCAGATATAAAATTTGCGTTCTGTAAATGAAAATCTAAAGAGGAGTTCATTTGAAAGTAGAACCATGACTTACTTCACAAAGTACACCAGGAAGAGTATAATCAAATGAAGAATTTGTCTCAATTAATATAAAACACACAAAATTAACTACTAATTAACTAAGCTTTGTTAGACTTTTTTTTCCCCCAAAGTCTGTACGCAGTGCATAGATTGGTACAAAAAGGAAGTGTCAGTAAATTAAGTCTGTTGAGGTACACTGAGTCTACCACCGTTCTTCAGAAGCAAAAGAATTGTGCCACTGGGCTGAACTGAACGCCCCAGGTTTGGGTAGCCACACAGTGCTAGGGTGTTTGTGATAGGAGCAGTATTTGCAGCTAGTTTCTCTCTGAAATAGAGAAAGAAAAAAACCCAAAAGTTGAATTATTTTACCTCTTGAAACCTTTGCACAATTCTTTGTACTGCCATTGAAAGGCATTCTTCTTAGTAAAACCGACATGGCACTGTTACAGCTTTCATCAGTATATGGTTCATTTGATTTTTGCTTTTATTTTTGAAACAAAAGTGTATGTAGTCATTAGAAATTGCCTTCTAATTGAACTTTATGGGAATTTTTAGCTAGCCTGAGTATTCTTCCCAATGAGCTTGAATTAAGATTTTAATTGGCTTATGTTATAGAATCACAGAATTGTTTCAATTGGAAAAGACCTTTAAGATCATGGGTCCAACCATTAACCTAGCACTGCCAAGTCCACCTCTAAACCGTGTCACTGTGCCGCATCTACATTTGTTAGTTGTGTAGAGGGTGCTTGTTCTCTGATTTTTTGCTTTGAAGGCAGATAATGCTGGAAGAATTATCAGAGGTTTCTCTTTATGCTCAATAAGAAATTTCAAGTGTTGCGTTTCCCATGCACTGGTTTACAAACCCTGGAGTAAGATACCAGCTTTCCTTGGGATTTACTACGTTAGGGTCTATGTTGAAAAGCAAAGGTAAAATAAGCAACTGTTTGAACTTTTTTTTGAAGTATTGTGTTTGAAAGTGACTGATGTGTCATATGAAAGTCTTTAGTAGATACAGTGAAAAATGGTAAAATATCTTTAAAATGTTGGTAAAATCATTTTACTGTTGAACAAATACAGACCAATCTCAGTTATAGACTTCCCCTATGAAACGGTGCAGCACTCTCTATGAGTTCAGTAAGGATCTGTTTGTGGGTGTTTCGGGTGAGAATAACCATGGATGACAGGACCTCAAAAAGTGCTTTTCTTTCTCATCTTTACCATTATAGTATATATTCTCAACTAGAGAATCTGGAGGTGCGTATCTGCTTGGCGTAATTTTAATGTTATGGCTGCTCACCAGAGAGGAGGAAGAGACAGCTTGTCTCGCATGACTTTAGAATTTTGATATGTATCTGACTGTTTATCAAGAAAATCAATAAACAAGTGGGGGGTGTGTGTGTGTTTCTTGCATGCAGTGTATCCTGCTCGCTGCTTAACGCGGAAAGCTCCAGCTGAGTGTAGTTAATGCCCTACGTTGAGTTTTAGCACCAAGTGCCATATGCTCTCCTTAAATGGAGGTCTGAATTGTCACCATGACTGATGGCTGCTGTCACGCAAGCAGCGCAGGTCTGTAGTCGTTAGGGGTATGGTTTCTACTGCAGCAGAGCAGCTTGGTCACGATGGCTTCTCCTGTGCTGTCGGCGACTGACCTGCGACTCTCCCAACCCTTCACCTACATGAGCTACCACTGTAGGTGCAAAGTGTTCAACAGTATTTAAAAGAGGTAAATGTGCAAAACCTGAATCTTTGTCCTGTTAGGCTGGTTTTGTGCTGCTCTTAAGTGTCATTAAAAAAGCCCTCCCCTTACAGGTACTTTTCCCTAAGGTTTTGCAGTGTCCCTTGGTGGGAGCTGGGTGCCTTGGCCCAGCCACAGTCCTGGGCGGCGGCTGCCGTCAGGCCAAGCCACCCCAAGCTGTTGCCTCAGAGCCAGGAACCGGGCTGGGGAGAATCAAGACTGGACTGAACGTCTCTCTTTGCACATCAGATGGAGTAACATGTGACTATTCCAACAGCATACTGCCTAAAGACAAGTTTGAGGGATTTTTTTAAGATAACACGCAGATAATCTTTGGATTTCACTGCGGTGTGGAAGAGCCCATTTAAACGACGGCTCTGTCAGCCGGCGGGGCCGGGTGCGGGCGGCGGTCGAGGGCACCGCGCGTCGCTCCCAGAGCCTCCCTCGGGAC